TGCGCTTGAGTGTTCACGGTCTCTAAGATCGTGAACTGGGCAACGCATCCGTGAAATCAAAGCCGTCCTATAAAAGGGGCGTGAACGGCGACTTTTCACTTCACGACCCAATCTCGCCGGAAATTTTCAAATCTTCGCCGGAAAACGCGAAACTCCGTCGATTTTTCGACTTTTCCCCATTTCCGGCGAGCAAAACCCAAAAATAACGTCATTCCCATTCTCCCCTCCTCATAACCGGCCTGTATTGAGATTTTGGGGAGATTTGGAGCACATTTTTTCGGCCAAGTCACTGGCTGCGAGTCTCCAACGAGCTTCCGACGAAGCTCCGGCGACCCTCTCCGGTCAGGTTTCCAACCATTTTTCACCGTCCTCGCCCGCACCTCACTTCCTTCTTTGTTCTACTTGTGTCTCCAGGTTTGTTTTTCGCTTTTACCTTTGTGAATTGTGGAGAATCGGATTTGGTAGTGAAGTGCGGTTGAATTTTTGTGATTTGCATGATTGAATCTAGGATTAGGGCGAGGAATTAGGTAAATTAGGTCGATTGAATGATGGATTGATTTTTGCATGAGCCTAGTGAGCCTTGGTGGGCTTGTTTGAACCGAATTGTGTTTATTTTTAGAATTTTCCCACCAAGTGCTATGTCATGAATGCAAGTGGAGTTTATTATTGTTTGGTGGATGGTATCCATTGTGGTAAGGGTTGTGGTTCAACTTTTTGTGTGCTTGAACCATGAATTACCCACAACCATGCCACAGTGGTTTGAGCTTAAATGTTTGATAACCATGGTGGAAAACAAGTGTGGGAGGAATCTCTTTTCCTCCCAATAAGCATTATTTTACGATTGTTTCCATGTATGGTGTATGCTTCCCATTTTTTGTAGGATGGTAACATGGATCACCCATACCTTGTGTCGCTAAGGAGCAGCCCTGAAATGGAGCAGCTTCTCCATTATAATTAGCTTCAAGATCTTCATATGTTTTTAGTGTATTTCTTGTTCAAATATCGTCTAATTTAAATTCTAATGATATGAAACACACTAAGCTAAAAAAATCAAGCATAAAAATGACAAAAAACATAGAAATATTGCTAAAATGACAAAGCATAAGACATTAAAAATTATATGAAAAACATGTATAGATAACACGTGTTATCAAATAACCCCGCACTCAAACCTTTGCTTGCTCTCAGGAAAAGCATTAAAACACAAGTTTCTCCGTGGGAAACATTTAAACAAAAGCTTGGTGAAACCATAGGGGCAAATAGAAAATGATAAATCACCAGTAGTCATTAACTTCAATACACAAGATGACATAATAGAGACACTAAACACTACTAGAAATGACTATAGTTTGCTCGTAGCTTGGGAGGCTCCTCCTCAGAGTTATAATCACCCAAACACAGCAACCTAAGAAATGAACAATCAAAGTTGAGGTTATTAGGACCTCACTGGTGTTTTTAGATAATTGAAGAATTTGACTCAAACACTCGACCAGTGTAGCCAGGGCAATTGTGTATGCAAAATATGTGCATGTCATTGACACTCAATCATATCATCTTTCTACCATGAAGCTAGCTCCAAAACATTTACAATTCAATAAAGTCTCCGCAAAGTGGGTCGCCATTAACTTGTCCATACGTCTTTTAATTGGGTTAGAAGTTGGTTAGGGTCTAGGAGATGTGGAATAAATCTTCGAGGTATTGAAAAATTCATTGTTAAAGGTTCTACAAATATCAAAATTACACCACATAAAATCACAACTTCTTTACTTTTCTGTTTTGAAACTCGAGTTGCACAAGGAGGAAGATTTTTAAGTCATTCAACCAAAAAAAAAAGATTTTTAAGTCCTAAGAGTTCACTCAGCCATTGGCGAGATGAACGACTCCTTTTTTATGCAAAAAACTTTTGGCAACTCTCTTATTCTTTTATTTTCTTCCCCGATTTCCATTTTTTCTTTTGAGAGCACAAACATAAAGCCAGTTTTTAGGTATAGCACTTTTGTTTGAAAACTTCAATCCAAAATCTCTTTAAAGCGTAAGTAGAATACCGTGGTAAAACCAAACTCATGGAACCTTGAAGAAGGGTTCAAATGATGAGGCTTGAAAGAACAAATGTTTGTTTTAATATTACTGTAATAGCCAAGAAATAGATAAATGCTCAAGGCAGTTCACTAAGGAATATTATGATAAGGGTGGTCAATTGAGGCCATGGGTTATACCTATGTCTCCATCATCCTTAATAATAGTTTCACGACTTGATCTCAAGAGCAAATATTAAGCATAGTCATTATGTAGAAAGGAATCTATCACACATTGAAGGAAACAAGCATAAACAAATATCAATGGTTTCCTAGATGATTAGTCTTTCATGCAAGTCTCTTAATCACTATGCTTAAAAATTAGAGATGATAATTGACTTATTCTAATTCTCATACAGTTTTGCCATCAAATGAAGAGTGCTGGCACTAGACACAAACATACCATCTTTTCGGTCACATTATAGGTTGGATTTTTGGAAAATTTTAATTTTTTAGAATAAAAATAGGGAAGAAAACACTAATCATAGGTTGGTTTGCCTCACAACAAGCATTTCTTCATTGTCGTCTTAGCTGGATGATGTAGCAAATCAAAGTTATAATCATAGGATGTCCTAGGGTCATATTCCACAAGGTCTTTTAATGCAGAACTACTTACACCATACCATCTATGACTCACATGAAAACAAGAGAAGCATTTAGGGGTTTTCATTTAACTAACAAGCAAGGGAAAGTAGAGCAAGAATAGTAAAGTTGTTTAGGGGGTTTTTATTTATATATGCATAAAAGTAAAGATATGTTATTGTATAAGAAATTGAATCTTGAATAGCATCATGCATACTAAAGCTCAATCTATAGCATCAGTCTATCCCTTCCAGTAAGGCCAATCTCAACCCGTGCTTGCGCCTCTTGCGATAGAGATTTTACTAGCTAATGCATACTTTCGCTTCATGCCATTGCCTAATTAATGAAGAACACGGAAGATAGGATAACATATGTGTCGTAACCGTCCCTCCGGGGGTCGTCGGGGGTCGCGTTCGCTTTTTGGGAGTCGCCATCGATCTTACTTGGAGTGGATCGAACAGTCTTCGGTCGGCTCTAACCTTAGGGTCAGAACCGAGATATGGTCTGCGGTTAAGAGAATAGGGGTTGGGAGTATGGTTACGTGTGGGGAAGTGAAATCACACCACACAACACTCTAAATCGATACTACTCAAGTTTTATAAGTATTATATTAGTTGGGTGTATTTTTACTTTTTAGTAATAATTTGGTAGGGGTCCCACTGGACCGTTGAATAATTTTATCGTATTAGTTTATTATTAAGTATTCCATGTATTTTTAGGGCCTTACCGGACCACTAAAGAATTTAAATCGTATTAGTTGTAATTAATTATACGCCCATTGACGTAAAATTAAAGATAAAATTGATTAGTTTTTTGGACTCAAACCTTACTGGCTGCCTACGTACCTGTTAGACGGGATCAAAGTCCACGTAGTTCGTTTGGAACTTTGATCATTTTAATTATAACTTTTACCACGTTCCACTGAACGTAATTATCGTATTATAATTTTGTTAATAAAACTCCATTTAGATTATTATGAGGTTAGGACAATAAATGCAAGGACTTTAGTTATTAGGAATTATTTTGACGTATTGGAAAAGAAACGAGATAAACTTAATCTGCGTTTAGCATTTCGTATTAAGGACTTTAAACAAATAAAACTAAGCGAAATGATTATGATTATGGTTGATGGGCCAGCAGCCCATTTGGCTAAGGCGCCAGTAGTATGGCGCGTACATGTCAGAGAAAGGGGAAGGGTAGTGTCGTAAATACACAAAAACACGGTGGTAAGGGTACGTAATTTTTAGGAAAACCTAGGGGTAAAAGAGTCATTTTAAACATAATGGTATATCATCAATGCAATGAAAACCTAATTCATCTAAACAGAGGTGACCGCCCTCTAGGGATGGCAAACCAGATCCGACCCGGTGGATTTTATCCGATCTGAGCTGTCATGGAGCGGATAAAATCCGGCCCGTTTTTGAACAGGGCGGATCTCGACCCGCTCCGCCATTAGAACTGGGTGGATACGGATGCAAACTTCTTACCTGCTCCGCCCGCTCTGCCCCGTTGATTAAGCATCTGTCGCCAAAACATCTTCCCGTAGAGGCTTATCTCCGCGAAGCACCCAATCCCAGGCACCCAACAGCTAGTGTCTAGTGAACGATTAATATTCCCACAGAGGTCTTCGCAAAAGTCAATCCCGCCGCAGTTCCGCACTCAACCCCTTTAACGATTCATCTCCTTCCCCAATTCCCAATCCCCCTCCCCCAATTCCCAACTCTGCTTTATCGAGCATTGAATTGAAGATGAAGGGCTCTCATATAAGTTCAACTTACGCCCTTCTTTTTCTTCATCTTCTCTATTTTCTTCTTCTTCTTCTTCTTCTTCATCTTCTTCTTCTTCTTCCGAGATTTGCAGCGCCATTGGAAGGGGAGTAGAAGAAAGAAAGGAAAGCTCACATATTTCCATTTTCTAGCAAGGAGGTCAACAACAATATTACAGTGGTGAGGTAAATATCAATCCCTATTGGGCTATTGGCATAGTTTTCTTTGCTCTATTTCGATTGATTATTATGGTGAGTTTTCTGCTGGTTGCTGCAAAATTATGGGGAGTTTTGTTTGGTCTAATTCATTGGCGGGGAGAAGTTGTTGATCATTTCACTCTTAAGGCATTGCTTGCAATTTGTCTCTCCCGAAAATCATAGATTGGAGTTGTAGTTTATGACAATGAAATTGCTTGCGGTTAATTAAATCAATTCGTTGTAAAATTTCTTGAGCCACTTTTTTTGCTGTGTTCAAGCATTCAATTTCATATACAGAGTTTGTTGTCTTATTTATCTACTTATGCAAAATTAAAATAATCATATTAGCTAATTGAACCTTGTTCATCTTGCAATTAGGAATGGACAAGGAGGGACCTCAAACAGTACAGGACATGGAGGGGCCTCAAATTGAGTCTGATGTTCTGAATGTGGAGGCAACAGCTTCCCAACCTCAACCAGATCCGCCTCAAGGCCCTCAACGTGATGTTGTTCATGTTGTTGCTGAAGCCCCACCTGCAACTGATGAGAAAGAGAAGCGCAAGGGTCCTACGTCTGGTATGGTGTTCTCACAGTGGTGGAAACATTATAATAAGTTAACAGTTGATGGCAAACCAAAAGCAGAGTGCAAATATTGTAAGAAGAAGCTTGTTGGAGAGCCATCCCAAGGAACAACTCATTTGAAGAATCATTATCACCGATGTCCTAAAGTGAAGCGGTCTGGAGATATAAAACAACAACTCTTGCAAGGAAATTTGAATAAGGACAAATTCCAGTTGACGCCGTTCAACTTTAGTCAAGAGAACTCTCGAAAAGAACTGGCTAAGGCGATTATAAGGCATGAGTATCCTCTCTCGATTGTGGAGCATGAAGGTTTTAGGAGTTACAGCATGAGTTTGAATCCATGCTTTAAGATGGTGTGCAGAAACACCATAAAAAAGGACTGTCTTGGCATTTACGATGTTGAAAAACAAGCTGCAATGGAGTTCTTGCGGAAGTATGAAGGTCGAGTGGCAATAACCACAGATATGTGGACATCTTCTCAGAAGAAGGGTTTCATGGCAGTGACCGCACACTACATCGATAATAATTGGACTTTGCAAAGTCGAATCATCAGGTACTTTTTGTATCCATTCACATGTTATAGTCTGTGATTACTTGGTTGGTGTTTTCCTTTATTACAGTTTGTTATGATTCATGACTTTGATGTGTTTCAAACTCTCATTCATGGTTTTTCTGGTTTACTTTGTGTTTGAGTAGTGCGCTGTCTGGAGGTGCTTTTGTGCTCTTGAGTATAATAGAACAAATTTCATCCCTGCTGGACTTTTTCCGCCCTTGTGAAGTTACTGACCATTTCACTTTTTCAATTTTTAGGCCTTGTGGACCTTTTTACAAGTTCTGTTTATACAATCTGTAGAATCCTTTCATATTTTTCATGATAATAGCACTAGTTCCCTTTTCCCATGATAACAGAACAAGTTCCCTTTTCCCACCAATGACTACAATTAACAGATTATTAAATGACTATTATATCATGTTATCATGCATTACACTATGATGTTTAATTGGAGTATGATAGTATATTGCCAATCTGTCATATTGATAAGTTTAATAAAGTCGTGCTATCTGTGATTGTGCAGGTTCATTTATGTACCTGCTCCGCACACAAGTGAAGTTCTTTGTGAAAATCTGTTCGATTGTTTGGTGAATTGGAATCTCGATCATAGATTATCAGCTGTCACAGTTGATAACTGCTCGACGAATGATGCAATGATGAGTCGACTGATGGAGAAGCTTCCTCTAGAGTCTCTTTTGGACAATGGAAGTATGATTCATATGAGGTGCTGTGCACACATATTGAATCTGATTGTCAAGGAAGGTCTTAAGGTGATTGGAGATGGAATAGACAGAATCAGAGAGAGTGTTCATTTCTGGCTGGCCACACCAAAGAGATGGGAGAAGTTTGTCGAGACTACTCACCAGCTTGAGGCTGCACGCATAATTCGTAATCAAAATGGTAAGAAGCTTGTACTTGACTGTGACACTAGATGGAATTCAACTTATTTGATGTTGAATACTGCTTTGGGGTATAAGGAAGTTTTTAATCGCTTAAAGATTCGAGAGTCAAAGTACAAATGCTTGCCTACTGAGCGTGACTGGAAATTGACAGAAGAGATTTGCAGTAGGTTAAAGAAGTTTTATAGTGCTACTGAACTTTTTTCTGGCACTAAATATCCGACTGCCAACTTATGTTTTGAAGTAGTTTGTGAGATTAAGCTCGCTCTACGGCAGTGGTGTGTTTGTGGAACTGAAACCATTGAAACTATGGCCATAAATATGTTGGAAAAGTTTGACAAGTATTGGCATGAGGTGCATTCTTTAATGGGGGTAGCAGCTATACTTGATCCAAGGTATAAAACTGAAGTAATGGATTGCTACTTTCCTGTGATTTATGGTGAGGAATGTGAGACGGAGATAGAGAGGCTTGTTGGTATATGTCGTAAGTTAGTTGAAGACTATGAAGAGAAGGAAAGAGAGCAAGAAAACATAAATGATGTGGTTCAAGTAAGCAGTTTGGGAGCTGCTGCAGGTCAGAGGGAAACAACAAGCAAATTTGCTCTATATACTTCTAGAAGGAAAAGGAAGCCTACTAGGTCAGAGCTGGACTCTTACTTGGAAGATGCAATCATACCCCCCACACCTGATTTCGATGTTTTGTGTTGGTGGAAGTCAAATAGACATAAATATAATATATTGCATAAGGTTGCAAGGGATGTTTTGGCTATTCCTGTCTCTACTGTGGCCTCCGAGTCTGCTTTTAGTGCTAGTGGAAGGGTGATATCTTCTCATCGAAGTAGGCTGAGTCCAGAAACCATAGAATGGTTGATGTGTGCTCATAGTTGGCTTCGTGCTAGTTCCCAAGGTAATCACTATCAAAATGATGCTTATATTCGAACGTTGCTGCTTTCCAAGGGTGATATTTTTCTAATTGTTTGTGTTTGAATGCAGCTGGTTCCACTGCAGGGAAGGTCTCACAAGGTACCGTGCTTGAGGATTCTGATGGAGAGACAGACAATGATCCTTAGGTATTGATTCAATGATAATTTTTGGACTTTTATTTGGCTGTTTGTTTGGATTTTAAGTAGTTACAATTGCAGCAGCTCTTGAAAATATCAATTTCCTTGTTATGGTTCCAGAGTTATTCAATAGCTCTTGAATGATTAGTGTTTGGCTTGCAACAAATGTCAATTTAGTTTAGCTATGGTTCCACAAGCTAATTGTACTATGGGGCTTGATGAATGATGAATTATGATATGAGAAGCTTATAGTGAATGATGATATTGTCAATTTGCAGCTTGCTAGTTGTTGTTGTGTTGCATGGCAATTTTCAGTTTGCTGGCTACTGTTGTGATGCACTACAGGCTTAATATAAATCAAAGTCAGGGGAGAGGTTTGAGAGGAGATGTTTGCTGTTCTGGAGACTAAAGGAAGGCTTACTGGCTGCTGTTGTGCCGCATGATATTTGGAGTTTCCAGATTCTGCAGTTGATATGCTTAATGCTTCCATTATTTTCTTTTGAACTCTTATGGTTTATGCAAACTCTTTTTGGATTAGGATTTCAGTTCCTAGAGGAGGTTTGAGTGTTTCTTTTGGATGATGGGAAATTGGATATTTTGTGAGGTTTGCTTTGTTGTTATTGGATTTTCGTAGTTGGAATGTTGGAACTGGAATACATTTTATGAGTTGTGGATGTTATTTAGTGGTTGAAGTTTCTTTATGACTAATTTGTTATACAGCCTCCTGTATGATGAATGAAGAATAATGTTGACATGATTACAGGTTAGAGATAAAAAAGGGGTGGGGTGGGTATATGTTGAATGACAATGTATTATAGGTTGAACTGAAATTGGGGCAGGGCGGGTAAAATCCGCCCCGTGCGGGGCTTAACATGGGTCAGAAAATAGCGACCCGTCGCGGATCGCGGGGCAGGGCGAGGCGATGAGTTAGATCGTGGGGCAGAGCACGGGTTTAGGGGTACCCGCCCCAAACTTGACCCGTTGCCATCCCTACCGCCCTCTCTCTACGAACGCCGCCTCTCTCTCTCTCTCTCTCTCTCTCTCTCTCTCTCTCTCTCTCTCTCGTCCCTCTCATTCTCGTCTCTCCTCCCGCCTCTAGAAATCTAAAAACCCTAGCGGCCGAACACTAAAAGAAAACGATGCCCTTCCCCCTCTCGAATCTACTTCTTCCTCTGCTCTTCGCTCTTCCCTCTCGATCGCCTATCCATATCTTCTCTTCCTTCCGCCTTCTCTCCAGAAATCAACAACGAAAGAGGAAGAAGACCCGATTCTGGTCTCTCCCTCTCTCTCTCTCACGTCTCTCTCCTCTCGTCTTTCCTCTCTAATCCTCTCTCCTCTCAACCACCGTCGGCCACTCAAATATGGTCGGGACCCTAATCGACCGTGAAAGCGGAGTTGATATAGATAAGTCTGTACATGCATGTTTGTTTCTCTTTCTATTTTTTAATTTCTGTTTCAGATTATACTAATTTTCTGTTATTGGTATGTCTGGTTTCTGGATTTTGGATCGACGAGGGGGGAAGGAGAGAGGAGACCATTATTCGCCAGTCTTGGGTTCCGCCGGCGGCGACAGAAATCAAAGAGGACTCGACGGCGATGATTGCAGCAAGGGTAAGGGGTCGACTCTAGGTTTGCATGTAGAGTTTTCTTTGGTTTTCTAGTTCAATAAGGGATTCTTATTTTTTCCTAGGTTTGGATCTTGCGCAAGGGAACGAGGAAAAGGGGGAGTAGATGGGTGGCGGCTAGGGTCTTTGCCGGCAAGCCTTTGCCGGCGGTGGTGTGACGACGGCGACAAGTGGGGTTGTGGTTTTTATGATTTTACTTTTGATTTATTACTCCTTTAATCGAATCTGACCTCTACTCTCGTTTTGTCACAGGTTTTGAGTAATGGGCAGATCTAGGTAAGGATCGTCCTAAACTGAGTTTAGTGTGATTTGGGAATTTGAAAAAAATAAAATAAAATAATGGGTTATCATTGAGGGTTTGGAATCTGATTGCAAATCTGTGTTTTTGGTAAAAATGGTTGTTTTGTATGCTTTTTGACTCTTAATGTGCAAATCAGTTGCCTAAAAACGCAATTAGTTTTACTTATAATGGGCTAGATCATTAATTATCACAGCCACTGCTTGTGATTTAGTAGACTGTTGCCTGTAAATAACTGGTACTGCTTTTGATTTTGATTGGATTGAGATTTTGGTTGATTTAAAAATTGGTGAGAGTTTGTGAATCTGAAATTTTATTGCGTTTATGGTGTTGTTTTCGTTAGTTCTAGATCTTGGTTGATCCATGGACTTCTAAAAAGTGGTTTTTTTATTGTTAAAAAAATGTGTTATTTAGTTGTACTTTAATTCGCATATATGTGGCTACGAGTGTGGGAAATCAACAAGGCAGAAAGTTAAAATGAAGCATCTTACTTCACTCATGTTTTAAGTTAATCAGCATAATAGTTATAGCATAGACAAAGCTAATAATACGATTGAAAAAAAAACTTGGATGAAGGAGCTTGAAGAAACTGATATGAACAGATCTTTGGTAAATAGAGTGGAGCTTGTAAAATAAAGCGTTTGCATATAAATAGGAAAGTAGATGGATGATTATAACATCACAAAGTCTTCCCCCCGAACTTTCGCCTATGAATTGCAAAAGAGAGTTTTGATTTCAAATTCTATTTCTGTAGAGTGTTTTTGCTTCCTTCCCAAAGTCGTCCCCTTAACAAAGAGCAGAAAAGCACTAGTAGCAAAGAAATCTGCTACGTGTTGCTCTCTTCTCTGGGCAGTTTTTTTTTTTTAATTTTGGCTTTGGAAAGTGTGACCCTTCTGAGGTCGATTGTGGATAAGATATGGTCAGGCCGAACCAGGCCGGTTGGGTTATGGTTGGGTTTCGTTGGGCCGAGTTGGCCCCGATTTGGTTTCTTCATATCTGGGCCCGAATTATGGGCATAGAATTAGCTTGTCTTTAACCTTGGGCCAGACTTTGAATTAGAGTTTGGGCTTATACTTGGGATTTAGTTGAGCCTCTCCTAACTGATCAGTTTTTAGTTTGTAGGTTGCTAATCTCGTTTGGGCCCAGAGGTAGGA